CTAAACCAGAACTAAAACCAAGAAAAGCTGAAGTGCCTGACCAAGGACGTTAAAAATTGGAAATGGAAGTGCCGCCATTCTGACAATTAGACGTCAATGTCGGAGTGACAACACGTAACCACCTGTGCGACAGCGACAGAACCCAGAATAAAAATGTTTAAAAGAGTTAAACGAGTTAAATTATAAAGAGTTAAACAGGTTCAATCAAAAAGGTTCTTCATCAGACTCGCTGACTCGATGATCTGATCCCGCGGCCGCCGCCCGGGTTCACCTCATGGACCGAGCAGGAGGGTTTGATAAAAGCCCAGAGCTCGTGTAAATGTAGCTACATGAGGAGATAAAAAGAACATGCGTGTTGTTTGGAAAGGAGTTTGAGATCTGCCAAAGTGTAATCAGGACAAGATGGAGGAGAGGAAGACGAAGAGGAGGAGGAAAGAAGGATGATAGAAAGTGGAGAGAGAGGACAGGAGCGAGGGCAGAGACGGGGAGAGGGGCGTGGGGTCGGACCAAGAGAAAACGATGACGGGAAAAGGAGAGGAGAGGACGGGAGGGAGGGGGAGTTTTTCACTGTGATAAACACATACAAAAAAAAGAAACATGCATTTATTTTAGTCTATTGGTTAAAAAGATACAGAGTGTGGCTTTAACTCTTGAATTCTAAATCAGATTCTTCATAAAAACACTTGGACTTGGCAGCAACGCGTCTAAACCAGGACTAAACAACGACTAAAATCAGGACTAAAACCTGGACTAAACAAGGACTAAAACAGGATTTAATCAGAACTAAACCGTGCCACAGCGACTGTGCTTCCTATGCCACCAGTCCGAAAATATTGTCCCGCCAAGAGCGCCACCGCAAAAAATACCTAGAAAAACCGGCATTCTGACTGTGAGCGGGGTCGCCTCTCCACGGATCTGACTTGTAACTTGGTCTGGTTTGGTCTCCATGAAGATAGAAATGTTTAAAGCCATACTGTGAAACATATTTGACAGGTGTAGTCCAGGTTTAGTCAAGGTTTAGCCCAGGTTTAGTCAAGGTTTAGTCCAGGTTTACTCCAGGTTTAGTCCAGGTTTAGTCCAGGTTTAGTCAAGTTTTAGTCAGGTTTAGTCCAGGTTTAGTCCAGGTTTAGTCAAGGTTTAGGCCAGGTTTAGTCCAGGTTTAGTCCAGGTTTAGTCCAGGTTTAGGCCAAGTTTAGTCAAGATTTAGTCAAGATTTAGTCCAGGTTTAGTTAAGGTTTAGTCCAGGTTTAGCCCAGGTTTAGTCCAGGTTTAGTCCAGGTGTAGTCCAGGTTTAGTCAAGGTTTAGGCCAGGTTTAGTCAAGGTTTAGTCAAGGTTTAGTCAAGGTTTAGGCCAGGTTTAGTCAAGATTTAGTCAAGGTTTAGCCCAGGTTTAGTCCAGGTGTAGTCCAGGTTTAGTCAAGGTTTAGGCCAGGTTTAGTCAAGGTTTAGTCAAGGTTTAGTCAAGGTTTAGGCCAGGTTTAGTCAAGATTTAGTCAAGGTTTAGCCCAGGTTTAGTCCAGGTTTACTCCAGGTTTAGCCAGGTTTAGTCCAGGTTTAGTCCAGGTTTAGTCCAGGTTTAGTCCAGGTTTAGTCCAGGTTTAGTCAAGGTTTAGTCAAGGTTTTAGTCAGGTTTAGTCCAGGTTTAGTCCAGGTTTAGTCCAGGTTTAGGTCAGGTTTAGCCCAGGTTTAGTAGGTTTAGTCCAGGTTTAGTCCAGGTTTCAGGTTTTAGTCAGGTTTAATCCAGGTTTAGTCAAGATTTAGTCAAGGTTTAGCCCAGGTTTAGTCAAGGTTTTGTCCAGGTTTAGGCCAGGTTTAGTCCAGGTTTAGTCCAGGTGTAGTCCAGGTTTAGTCAAGGTTTAGGCCAGGTTTAGGCCAGGTGTAGTCCAGGTGTAGTCAAGGTTTAGGCCAGGTTTAGTCAAGGTTTAGTCCAGGTTTAGTTCAGGTTTAGCCCAGGTTTAATCCAGGTTTAATCCAGGTGTAGTCCAGGTTTAGTCCAGGTTTAGTCAAGGTTTAGTCCAGGTGTAGTCCAGGTTTAGTCAAGGTTTTGTCAAGTTTTAGTCCAGGTGTAGTCCAGGTTTAGTCCAGGTTTTGTCAAGGTTTAGTCCAGGTTTGGTCTCCATGAAGATAGAAATGTTTAAAGCCACACTGTGTAACATATTTGACAGGTTTAGTCCAGGTTTAGTCCAGGTTTTGTCAAGGTTTAGTCCAGGTGTAGTCCAGGTTTAGTCCAGGTTTTGTCCAGGTTTAGTCCAGGTTTGGTCTCCATGAAGATAGAAATGTTAAAGCCACACTGTGTAACATATTTGACAGACCCTCCACCAAAAAAGTTACAAAACGCACCAAAAACCAACCAAACCAAAAAAGGCAATATTCGTTTCTTTCGTTTAATCTCGACGTTCAGTCTCGGTCTGAGTCGGGCGTCTGTTCCTCGTACGAGCCACATCTGTGCGGCAGGTGTCTCCTCTGCTCCTCTGCCCCTCGAGGACTCGCAAACCAAAATAATGAAAACCACGTAAGAGCGCGACCTTCTAATGGGATCTGAAAGAACAACAATTCCCCTCGGTTCCTGTCGCTGCTGGGAACAAAGTTTATTTCACAACGGTGGATTCTTTCATTTACAGCAGGAGTCTAACCCGCAACCTGCTCACGGAGAGGAGGAGACGGGATAACCACTCTGCCACGGTGACACAGAGAGGGCACGGTTATATTGTTGAGCTGACAGCGCCTCTTAGTGGACAGGACCTGCAATAACAGCCCTGAGGCGACGCTTTTGGTTCAATAAATGTGAAAAATTAATTAAAATGAGAAATATTGAACTTCTCTAAATAAAAGTTAAGTTTTTGTTTTAGTTTGAGACCTGCTGAAAAGGCTGAGGGTTTGTTTTTAACACGTTCATAATCTGAGCAAACAATAACAAATAAATAAAAATAAGATTAGATTCAGTTATTTCTGTTCAACAAAATTCAGCAAAATCTTGATCAAAATCACTGCACTTGAAGCTTTTTTAGACCTCAAACTTTGCGCATAATATCTTTCGCTTTTAGTCTTTAAGCAGATTTATAAACAGGTACTTTAATACTTTTTTTTTTTTTTTTTATGCAAAATTATATGATACAAACCAATTGGCAGTGTTAAATGTTCAAGTGATTAAGCAGAATAATTGACAGGTCAGACTGGAACAGTGTAAATTTAAAGTGTTTTTGAGGCAAAAAATAGTTTTAGCTCTTTGATAAATGTTGTGAAAATGTTTAGCCCAGGTGTAGTCCAGATGTAGCCCAGGTTTAGTCCAAGTGTAGGCCAGGTTTAGTCCAGGTTTAGTCCAGATGTAGGCCAGGTTTAGTCCAGATGTAGCCCAGGTTTAGTCCAGATGTAGGCCAGGTTTAGTCCAGATGTAGGCCAGGTTTAGTCCAGATGTAGCCCAGGTTTAGTCCAGATGTAGGCCAGGTTTAGTCCAGATGTAGGCCAGGTTTAGCCCAGGTTTAGTCCAAGTGTAGGCCAGGTTTAGTCCAAGTGTAGGCCAGGTTTTAGTCCAGGTTTAGTCCAGATGTAGGCCAGGTTTAGCCCAGGTTTAGTCCAAGTGTAGGCCAGGTTTAGTCCAAGTGTAGGCCAGGTTTAGTCCAAGTGTAGGCCAGGTTTAGTCCAGATGTAGCCCAGGTTTAGTCCAGATGTAGCCCAGGTTTAGTCCAGGTGTAGGCCAGGTTTAGTCCAAGTGTAGGCCAGGTTTAGTCCAAGTTGTAGGCCAGGTTTAGTCCAGGTGTAGGCCAGGTTTAGTCCAAGTGTAGGCCAGGTTTAGTCCAGATGTAGGCCAGGTTTAGTCCAAGTGTAGGCCAGGTTTAGTCCAAGTGTAGGCCAGGTTTAGTCCAGGTTTAGTCCAGATGTAGGCCAGGTTTAGTCCAGGTTTAGTCCAGTTTTAGTCCAGGTTTGGCCCAGGTTTAGTCCAGGTTTAGTCCAGGTTTTGTCATATTTACACTGTATTCACAGATGTTCATTGGTGTGCACTGTCCCTATCAAGTAAATTAAAAAAAATTAAATGGTGCAATGAAAAATCAATCAGCCAATGGAACAAGACTAAACAAATGAACATTTATTCCCAAAAATCAACCACAAGATCATTCATTAAAATTCAGTAAAATCACACATCCACAATTTTAATAATATTGTTTAAAAATAGTCAAGTGAAGCTTTTAAAACATTTCAACACAACTGCAGATGAATCATATTTCAGCTCAAAAAACATGTACAGTATTCATGGATTTTTCTTTCTTTCTTTTAAAAATAGCAGCTTATAAAAGTAAACAAAACCTGGAGAGTTTGTATGGGTCAGTTTACTGGCAAAAACAGAGGCAATAAAATTAAAAAAATAAGTAAAATAATTTTCCCTTTGTAATAATGCCCTCATGGAGAATAAAAAGAAACTGAATTCAAAATACAGAAGTTTGGTTTTGTGATGCCATGAAAGACCTGGTTCTTGGGCCAGGTTTTGTCCAGGTTTTGTCCAGGTTTAGTCCAGGTTTTGTCCAGGTTTTGTCCAGGTTTAGTTCAGATTTAGTTCAGATTTAGTTCAGATTTAGTTCAAGTTTACCTCAGGTTTAGTCCAGGTTTAGTTCAAGTTTAGCCCAGGTTTAGCCCAGGTTTAGCCCAGGTTTAGTCCAAGTTTAGTCCAAGTTTAGTCCAAGTTTAGCCCAGGTTTAGTCCAGGTTTAGTCCAGGTTTAATCCAGGTTTAGTAAACGTTTTGTCCAAGTTTTGTCCAGGTTCAGTTCAAGTTTATTCCAAGTTTTGTCCAGGTTCAGTTCAAGTTTAGTCCAAGTTTAGCCCAGGTTTAGTCCAAGTTTAGTCCAAGTTTAGTCCAGTCCAAGTTTAGTCCAAATTTAGTCCAAATTTAGTCCAGGTTTAATCCAGGTTTAGTAAACGTTTTGTCCAAGTTTTGTCCAGGTTCAGTTCAAGTTTAGCCCAGGTTTAGTCCAAGTTTAGTCCAAGTTTAGTCCAAGGTTTAGTCCAGGTTTAGTCCAGGTTTAGTCCAGGTTTAATCCAGGTTTAGTAAACGTTTTGTCCAAGTTTTGTCCAGGTTCAGTTCAAGTTTAGTCCAAGTTTAGCCCAGGTTTAGCCCAGGTTTAGTCCAAGTTTAGTCCAAGTTTAGTCCAAGTTTAGTCCAAGTTTAGTCCAGGTTTAATCCAGGTTTAGTAAACGTTTTGTCCAAGTTTTGTCCAGGTTCAGTTAAAGTTTAGTCCAAGTTTAGCCCAGGTTTAGTCCAGGTTTAGTCCAGGTTTAATCCAGGTTTAGTAAACGTTTTGTCCAAGTTTTGTCCAGGTTCAGTTCAAGTTTAGTCCAAGTTTAGCCCAGGTTTAGTCCAAGTTTAGTCCAAGTTTTGTCCAAGTTTAGCCCAGGTTTAGTCCAAGTTTAGTCCAAATTTAGTCCAGGTTTAACCCAGGTTTAGTAAACGTTTTGTCCAAGTTTTGTCCAGGTTCAGTTCAAGTTTAGTCCAGGTTTAGCCCAGGTTTGTCTCTGGTTTAATCTTCTTTATTCCCTGTTAGGATGCATTCACACCAGCACATAGACCACAAAACTGGGAATAATTCTGAACTAATTCTGGACTAAACTAGGTTCAAACCAGGACAAATATGAACACACCTCTTGTCTTATTTTAGTGTAGTGTCGCTGTAGTTCTTGTTACAATCTGCTGTTTCGTTATAACAGGTCCCTGGTCTTGTCCTGGTTGAGTTCCCAGACTCCTGCGTTCCTTTTGGCAGGAGACAGGTACCACATGACCACTCCGGACGGGTTTATGGAAACACTGAACTGCTCTGTGGAGTTCAGAGTCTTCAGTTTGGATCCACCGAACACGTCATAAACCTGAGACACGACACAAACACAACACTTTCAGTCATTTTTAAACAGGAAACGATACAAAAATAAATTGTGTAACTTTGGTTTTGTGAGGTAAATGAAGTTGTCGTTGTTATAAAGCGTTACCAAAACAGTGAGCGCTCTGACCTGGTAGGAGCCTTTGTCGTAGCCGAGTTTGCTCAGAGACGTGTGGTAGATGTACGGCATGTCCGACCTCCTGCTCAGGAACACCACAGCGCTGGCCGAGTCCACCAGGGGGCGCCAGTACACCTCGATCTTACTCTTCTCCTGAAAAAGTTTTAAAATGATTTATACTGTTTAGTTATGGGTAGACAGTATGTTTAGTATGTAATTAAAACCTGCAAAAAGAGCAGACTCATATTAAAGGTGCATTGTGTAACTTTTCTGGAGGGTGCCTCGAATATTGGACGGTATTCAGCTTAGCCTTTTACATTTATTCAACTACAAGTGTTCTAATTACTTAAAATACCGAGAAAAACTCCATGGAGACGAGCGGCTTGTGGACTCTCCACCAGAAAAGTTTTGTTTTCTGTTGCCCATTTATATATACAGTCTAAAGCAGATATGTTAAATTCAGGCCCGGGGGCCGAATTTGGCCCGTGATATAATTATATTTAGCTTGTGAGATCATATCAAATATGTATTAGATATGATATGCTGGCTACAGATAGACTATAGAGACATGATTTATTAAAAATTTAATTTTTATTTTATATTTTGCTTATTTTGGATTCAATGTTTAATCAAAACTATTATTAAACATTAATTTTAATAAGAAAAGGTTTAACATTACATATCTCAAAAGAAGAGAAAACATGGAGATGTTCCTGAAATTTTTCAGTAAATATTTAATTTGGTTCACGACTTAGTCCCAGTTTTTAATTTTGGCCTCTGTGAATTTGAGTTTGACTCCTCTGGTCTAAAGTAACAAGCAGGACAAAGTGGAGAAAACCCACATTGATTAATAAGAGTTACTCTCATCAAAAATCTCAGCTCATTGATTTCTTAACAGTAAAACTTCCCCCACAGATGAAAAAGTACAAAAGGAAACTGCCTCTGTCCTCACAATCGATCCTTCTACTTTGGCATCTTGAATCTTTGCTGCAAATTTTTTCACTGCGAATTTTACAGTCTGAATTTTGAAATATTTATGCTGAATATTTAAAAGGTGAATTTTCTATTTAGAATGTTTTAAAAACGCTGAAAAAATTCAATTCAAACATGTATAATCAGAGTTAGAAAATTCTAAGTGAGAAATTCTTCCGTTATACTCATATTACAGAATCTGAAAACCACCCATTTTCAATCAACTTTTTTTTTTGCAACTTTTTGGACAGTTGGACACATTTCTTCCAGACTTCCCTCTTTCCCAAACATGCAGTCTCCGGTCTTACCTGTAGGAGGCGGCGTCCCTGAATGCCCAGAGGGTCCTGGTTGATGTTGATGGCGGCCTTGTTCTGGAGGATGGCTCTGGCGGCGTTGTCCAGCTGCCTCAGGTCTGTGGACATGATGAGAGGAGACGCCATGATGGCCCACAGCGCCATCTGAGTCCGAGACTGGTCCAGGCTCAGGCCAAAGTTCCCGATGATCAACTGAGGAGAAACACGGAAGAGGATGGAAAGAGTGAAGGGCCAATATTACACTATTTTGGATCACCTCTGTCCACATTTACATGATGTTTCTTTAATTCTGAATTAATTGTTCTGAATTAAAGAGTTCTGAACTAAAATATTCTCCTTCAAGTTTACATGGAAATAATAATTCCGAATTGAGGTTAACATGGAAAACACATTAAATTGTCTTCATTTTATTTAGTTCAGCGTCTGAGGATGAGAAAGATTTTGATTGGACAGAGACACGAACGTATTTACGTCGACTGGAAGAAAACACACACTTCAGCTGCTACCGGCTTTTCTGTCATCTCGGTTTGTCGTTACACCACGGACACAAACCCGATCCAATTCTCTCATCACACTTCACGTCTGTCGGCTGAGGAGGAGAAGGGAAGAGTGTTGGAGAAGGAGGAAGAAGACAAACTGAGTCAACGGCTGCTCGACCTCAGCCCACTCCCACGTCCAGCTCACAAATCCAAAGAGACGTGGATGAAAGTCCGAAGTCAGGACTGGTCGAGCCGGATTGAGTCAGAAGGGTGACACAATGAGCACTGAACGACCGGAAGTATTTTTAAGAAGAATGAACATCAGCATGATCAAGGAATAAATTAATTCGGCTTTAAAATCTGAATAAACCACCCACTTACTTAGGAATTAAGTTTTTACATAGTCTTTTTAAGGCGGAATTAATTTTTATTCAGAATGAAATTATTTGTATTCGGAATTAAAGTTAGTTAAAATTAAACATACTTTACCAGTCAAAAGTTTGGACACACCCTCAGTGTTTTTTCATTTGCTTTATTTTTACTACTTACATATGGAAAAAAACAAATATATGAAGCAAGATATGGAATTATAAAGCAAAGGAAACAAAGTTAAATAACTCTACTAAATAATTTTTTGACAAAGCAAAGGGTGGCTCTTTTTATGATTTAAATATAAAATAAAATATATAAAGAAATGAAAGAGAAGGTGTGTCTAAACTTGTGACTGGTGGTGTATATTGTGGCGGATATTATTAGGGGTGTCAAATTATCGCGTTAATTGCGATTAATTAATTAATTACGATTAATTATGTTTTTTAATCGTGTTAATCTCATTTTTAATCTCTAACTTTAGTGTTTCTGTATGTGAGTTTCTTTATTGTAAAACCTGTTTTTATGTGTTGTTGGGACAACAACACACACACACACACACACACACAAAACACATTTATACATTTTTTAATTTCGGTAATTCCACTCATTGCCGGAAAGCCACACAAAACGCGCGCAGTAACAGCGATGTAAACGTCATGTTAACGTTGGCGGCGTCAGTCGCACAATGGACGAGGTGGAAGAGTCAGTAGAACAGAGCAGCAGTGCACAGGTAAAAACACATTCGTGTCTTGGAAATTATTCTCCCGACGTGAAATATAAAAGAAAATAACAAATAGAATATCGCCTGAAAACAACCTGCATAGACTCATGATGTCTGCACTACTGTCCTATAGTGACCTGCCACATGAGGGGACACGCACACAAAACACACACAAACACACACAAACAAACACACACACACCTTCATCATCGTCATTAACCTGAGAACGCGCGGACCACGTTTCCTTCCGTAGTTACTGCGCGGACACCGACGTGCTCCCGTGAGCCGCGTGTGGATCGTGTTTTCTCGCGTACGCTGCGTAAACCGCGCTTCCTCCTGTGCGCCTCTAAACCAGAACTAACACCAAGACTAAAACCAGGACTAAACCAGGTCTAAACCAGGACTAAACCAGGACTAAAACCAGGTATAAACCAGGACTAAAACCAGGTATAAACCAGGACTAAACCAGGACTAAAACAGGACTAAACCAGGACTAAAACAAGGACTAAAACCAGTGATCTCATATATAAAGCATTTCTCTATCAATAATATTTTTAATATGGTTAAGGAAAGACTGGACTTTTTATTGTCTTTAAGTCGACAAAAGTTATTATGTTCAGATTTCCTCGTCTTTGCTACTTTACAGCAAACAGTTTCTTATTCATGGAGACTTGGGCTCAACAGCCAAATTGGAGAGATTTGTTAAACAATAAATGACTTTATAAAGTCACTTTTTTAAATCTATATCAGTCTTTTGATCTGCCACAATAATGTAATAATGAATTTAAATGAAAATACCTCAAATTGAAGCTTTTCTCAGCAATTTTTAGGTGAGATTAAAATGAGATTAATTAGATTAATTAATTACAGATCATAATTAATTAATCTCTCAATTTTTTTAATCGCATGACAGCACTAATTAATATTATAGAAATTATTATTATTTACTGTTGATTTTACCATTTTCATTTTATATACAGTATTGTGCAGAGGTGAGACCAAGTCATTGTTTTGCAAGTCTCAAGTAAGTCTCAAGTCTTTAACCTCAAGTCCAAGTCAAGTCTCAAGTTGTCTGCTTTGGGCTTCAAGTCATTTCAAGTCTTTAAGCTAAATTGTACTTAAAAAGTCATGGTATATTTATATATGAGTATTTATATAGTTGTAGAAATGCTCTTTTTTCCTTTTTAAATGTCAAGACAAGATCTGAGTGTGAATCATTACAGTCAGAACAGAAAGAATTCAGATTTAAAAGTGCTAAATAACAGTTATTTTGTGTGTTGTCTACACTGAAATGGAAGGATCATGTTCTATGTAGTTTCCCTGATTTACTCTATTGTACTGTATGTTACTGTAGTACTTTTGAGTATCACAGTACTTCATTTCCATCCAAAGTAACAAACAGAGAAGTGGGAGGGACATGTTCCAGTTTGTTCCTGTAAAATTGAGCTCCGCATTTATCAACTATAAAGAGAAAAGTATTTTATACAAACATATTTTTTCAGGAGAAGCATCAAGTCTTCTCAAGTCACAGGCCTCAAGTCTGAGTCAAGTCCCAAGTCTTAGTCCATTTTATCAAGTCAAGTCTCAAGTCTTAGTCCATTTTATCAAGTGGAGTCTCAAGTCCAAAAAATAGTGACTCAAGTCTGACTCGAGTCCAAGTCTGACTTGCAGGTCCCACCTCTGGTACTGTGTGAGTTTTGGTTGAATTTGTGTCTCACACACAAAATGTATTTTATCATTAAAGGTTGTATAGAGGATTTTTTTAAGGGAAGAGAACTACAGTGACAGTTCTTTTTCAAATGTTCCTCCTCCACAGCCTCAATAGAAACATCTCCTCCCGCCTCCTTACTCTAGAAATCACACGTTTACAGCCAGTGGGCGTTCGGAATTACAGTCGAAGTGACCGGTCTAGAAACAATTTAGCGACCTTCGTCTACTTGAGTCGCGACATCGCTGGAAGGGATCTCCAAGAATCACCTCAGTTTGTCTTCGCTTCCTTTTCCTCTTCTCTTCTTCTTTCAGCGATCTCATAAACGGACTTTCTTTTCGCGGCGAACTGGTCGTGGATTCTTGTCCGCCGTTGCAACAAACTTTGTGCGAATTTGTGCGAAGCTACAGTTTAAAAAAAGTCTCTAAGAACCGCCGCATAAACCACGTAATCCCAGCGAGTCAGTTACACTAGAAACATAGGGAGTTTGATTGATGACCTAACAGCCAATAGAAAATGAGGTGGCCTTGTTTTCTATTGGCTAATGTTTATCTGGCCTCACCACGTCCACATTTGATAGATTTTCATTCTTTTTTTTTTTTTTTTGGTCATCATAATTACAAGGCTGCTGCATCTCTGTAATGTTATTTTAACCTATCATTGACAATCTGAAACAAAACAAAAATCCTCCATACAACCTTTAAAGGGAAAACACAGGAAGCAGATAACGGCTGGGCGTAAGTTCTGTTATAAATTCTGCTGACTTGATAACATCGTTAGAAACTGTGATTAAAGCAGACATCTAAAAATCTCCTCTTCTCTTTTCTTGAACTTCTATGATATTTCTTCTTTATGCGTTTCAGTCTTTACCATATCGGGGTCGTTCCAGTGTCCCGGGCCGGCAGCAGGCTGGATGAAGTCCTGGTGAGTAAAGAACCAGTCCATGATGAACTGCAGACTGTTCCACGAGTCCTGGATGTCGTAGTAATTCCTCCACAGGTGACAGATCTCCCTCAGAAGATTATAGTCCACCTGTAGACAAACACACACGAGCAGAGGGGGCGCTACAGAGTCACATCCACACAAACTCGACTTTTACAACACTTTTGATCCTTATGCCCTTTTTGACCTCTTTTTATTTTATCACAGTAAGTTTTTAAATTACCAGCGTGGTCATCTTCACCATGTCAACTTCTGATCCTTTTTCTATTTTTATTTTTCAAGTTTCAGCTGCTTGTCCCACTATGTAACACAAATAAGTAAGTTACTGTTTTTATTTTTATTAAGAAACCGTAAAACAATTTGATGCACCTTTGATCGTGCTTATTTGGACACTCAAAAATGCCCATTATTTGGAATTTTGTGCGTTATTTTAGTTTGTCAGATAAAATGAACTCTTTTCTAAACCATCATAAACCAGATTATTTCTACTTCTACTAATATTTTAAAATCACACCAGTCTTTGTTTTCATGTAGTCAATAAAAATCTGTTTGCTCCAGTGACATAAGTGACATATATGATATAACAGCAGCTCAAAATTAGGTCAAATTGAGACTCTTGTGCGTTATATACATCTAGTTCACAGGTGTCAAACATACGGCCCGGGGGCCAGATGCGGCCCTCCAAGACCTTTAATCTGGCCCCCATCTGATTTTCTACTAAAACGTTTTAATTATATTTTCTATTAAAATATTGTTAATTTTCTGTGGTGTTTATCACAGCAGCGTCTCCAGCGTCTCTGTACGTGGCCCCTCCCACCAGAGCAGCACAAATGAAGACTTGTCTCTTTCCAAACGCTCTTAAAGGACGATCGTTTTGACTGTTGACCGTGACACCCTCATCAGAAAAATGTCCAACATGAGAAAAGTGGACGTCTCCAAGAAAAATTTACTCATTCCTATTAACATACAAGTTCATGTTAAAACATTGTGTTGAAATTGTATTTTTCTTAAAGTTTCAGGTTGTTCATAATATTATAATATTTTGTAAAAGAAAGAGTTCATAAATTAAAAAAGATTTCTGTAATAGATTTGTGTTTCTCTGCATAAATATTTAAACTTATTGTTATTTTTGGGGTTTATATGACATGAGTTTTCTGATCTGGCCCCTTTGGGATCAAAGAAGGTTGGATACGGCCCCCGGACCAAAATGAGTTTGACACCCCTGATCTAGTTATACATTTTCATCTGTCACAAAACTAAAATAATACTGGTGCGAAATTAGAACAGTTGGGGATTCATTCATGGGAGTGCAGGACCAGTTTGTGTGTCCATATCTTTAGAAAACTGTACACATGCAGTTCCTCAGACTGACCTCCGGGGGCAGCGAGCCGATGTACACGGGCCAGCTGCAGGAGTAGACCATGGGACGTCCTGTGGCGTTCAGAGCTTTGGACATCAGAGGGTAACCTGGGCACAGGAGGAGAGGCAGGTTTAGAATTTATGTTTTTTTATGGTAATTTCACAGAGAATATTCAAAAGCGAAGGCTGATTTAAGTAATGATAAAATTACTCGGTAAACACGATAAAAGCCTTTCAGATCTGAGTGTCACTGCAGTCAGGACCCGCCCATAATCCAGAGAGATAGCCTTTCAGTAGATGTATTTATTGCTCATCTACTGTAACAAAATTCGGACTTGTATCGGTATCGACGAGTACACTAAGCCCAAGTATTGTATCAGATCGTACCCCAAAAAATGGTATCTAACAAAACTATTGGATATTCTAGTTATCTGATTTTCACCTTACATGTGATTGTACCCAGTGACTCCAAGGAGCAGACCTGATTGTAAAACACGCCACAAGTTTATGGAATTACCGTATTTTCCGGACTATAAGTCGCATCAACCAAAAAATGCATAATGAACAATAAAAAAGCATATATAAGTCGCACCGGAATATAAATCGAACTTTTTGGGGGAACTTTCTTTTATAAAATCTGAGAGCAGGAACCAACATTTCCTGTTGAATGTCAAGTTCTAGTAAAAACAATAGAAGAGAGAAGAACAGACTGTTAACGTCACATATGAACAGTTCTTCAGATAAACTATAACATAAACAACAGAACAGAACAAGTTTACCAAACTCTCCATCTTACTCCAAATCACTAAATCCATCAATTCTTCATCCTCGGTGTCACTTCTGAGCAACTCCACGACCCCCAGAGGTAAACAGAGCGACGCTTCCTCTTCTGTGTCGCTGTCGTCAGACTCAGCATCAGTTCCAGTTAGAATTATTCTGGTCTTTCTGAATCCCGACAGGATGGTTTCGGTGTCACTGAAGATCAGACTTTGTCCATCCATCCAGTGACCTCAGGAAAGTTTCATGGTGCATCCTCCCGGTGTCACAAGTTTCTCGCTCACTCCAAACTTTCTTTCTGCTGCTCAATTATCGTTTTCAGCTGCAGATTTCTCGACTTGCAGCTTGTAATCTGCAAAACATGATTTTCTTTTTGGGTGTATTTGTGTTCAGTTTTCTCAGTTCTCTTAATAAGTTTGTTTCAATTTTCAGTGTTAGAGAAGTAATGGTTTGATTGACTGATATGATACAGACAGGACAGAGGCTCTTTCTGCAGGAGACATGCGCAGTAGAGTCAAGTGACAGTGGTACAGGAGGAACAGGAGCAGCAGATACTCACACACAAGACTAGAACCTCTCGCCTTCTGTCAGTGTTAACATTTTAATACAAAAGTCGCACCCAAACCATGAAAAAAGTGCGACTTATTGTCTGAAAAATATGGTGCTATTATTATTATTATTATTAGATCTACTGTATAGAAAGAAAGGCCATTTCTAACCCATGTGCACATCTGACAAACCTTTGATTAAGTTAGCAAGGAAAAAATCTAAACGGGCATGTATTTTTCCCATTTGATAAACTGTCTAGATACCTAATGTATCTAGATAGTATCTTCTCCCAGACGTCCTGTAAACCCTTTGACATCAGCGTAAGTTCTAAAGTTAAAAATGGGTCATATTAAAGCGTGGTACCCAGCAGCTGCTCCAGAGCGTTGGAGTTACAGCCGTCGAACTTGAGGTAGTCCACGCCCCAGTCTGCGAAGGTCTGAGCGTCGGTGGTGATGTGGTCCAGGGTGGTCCCGGGGAAGCCCATGCACGTGAAGCGGCCCATGTCTGCGTAGATGCCCAGCTTCAGACCGCGGCTGTGCACGTACTCCGCCAGGCGAGGGATGCCGGAGGGGAACCTGCACCACAGTCAGATTTTTTTAGGTTTAGGCCAAGATATTCACAACAAACACCGGCAAAGATAAAGTTCAGCTTTCAGAGGAGCACCAGATCTGAACTAGGACTAGATCAGCCCTAAACTGGATCTAAATCAGGTCTAAAACAATATTGAGCTATGCATGTAAAGTGGGGTGACAGTAGTTCAGTTGGTTGAGTGTTTGTCCAATGATTCGAAGATTGTCAGTTTGAATCCCGCTCTCGACATAAACATCATTGGTTGAGCGATCAGATCCACTGGTTGGCTGTCATGGTGTCTTTGGGTAAGACACTTAACCCATTTCTCTCTGCGTATGTTGGTGTGTGAATGGGTGAGGTGGAAAAGCACTAGGGCTGGGTATCATTAAGAAGTTGCCGATACGATACATACCTCGATACACAGGCCACGATACGATACATACCTCGATACGGCGCACTTTCGATTCGATATGATATATTTCAAATCGATTCGATACGGTTCAATTAAAAAATAAAGGCTAAATCATGGCTGTGACACTAAAGTCTTTGTTAAACCAGTTTTTGTGCAAAGTTAATCTGAAACACAAACATTTTAATCCTCAAAACAGTAAAAATGTCAAATGTGTCGCATAAATGAGTTTCCTTTCACTCCACAAGCAACAAAACTGTAGCTCTGTAACAAAATAATTTAGTAAAACACACCTAAAAATACTCTTGGTGAAATATCGATACAGTAGCCCACGATATCGATACTGTATCATCACATTAAACGATACGATATATCGATATTCCGATATTTTTGCACAGCCCTAAAAAGCACTATATAAAACTGTGACCATTTTTCTTTTGGAGATACTGCACTTTCACTCTGAACACTGAACACTAGATGGCAATAATTCAATTTATTATTACCATTTATATTTTTACTCTTTGTTATTATATTATACTGTGATGTGTGAGCCACTGTGTCCAGATCAATAAAGTTTGTCCAAGTCTAAGTACCCCCCATATTAGTCACGAGGTCAAGGCACCGGATGCGTTTGTGTGTTTCATAGAACTAGAATAAAATCTGAAGGTGAACCCATCATATTGTTTTCATTAATTTCCTTTTCCGCATTAACCTCCTCAATCCGGGAGAGCTCCTTCCACCTGTGTGATGTCTGTAACGTGTACGGCGTGGAGCGTTTGGACCAATCAGAGCAAGAGCTGCGAGAGCGGAGCAAGAGCGGACTCAGAGCGAGGCGAGGCTAAGTCTTTTATGAACTTTTAGGCGCTTTGAGGATTTAAAAATTTTAAAAGTTTATGTTGTGAAAATAGAAAAGAATCCCTAAAAAATCCAACCTTTGTGAAAGTTGTGGATACTCTGTCAGCTGAACACGGGCAGTCTGAATTTCCAAAAATGCATTGCGTTCTGTGGGAGAATTCTTTCTGGGCCCAAGCTAACGTGAACTGCAGTACCTGGAGCGACCACTAGTCTGTCTGGAGCAGGACAGAGGCGGAGGGGCTTATCCAGATTTTATTATAGATCCATGGTGTGTGAGTATTGAATAATCCAACAGTTTTGACAGTGGATTTGGTGTCATAACCTGAGATTCTGAAGTTGCAGTATTAAATTTAAGATGCCTGACTAAAGCTGATGGATTTGTAAAGTATGAAACAGTAAACAGCAACTATAAGAGGAAGAGCCAGACCACAACGTGTGGGTTTACACATGAGACGCAGACAGACTGAGGTGACATGCACAACTCGTGTGAACTGAGAGTAAGACAAGAGTGAAAATGTTGCGTAAGGAAGGAGGAAACCAAATAAAACTGATCTGAGACGGAAGTGGTAGACTGTCACGAGCATGATAAGCCCTGTAATATTTGACTTTTTCTATGAACCAAATCCTCAATAAAAATAAGAATATGTTTGACATTAGAGTTTTTTTCCTTTTTTCTTAAGGTGTACACTGTAAGTTTTCTGGTGGAGGGTCGTCTCAGGCCCCATCCACACTAGTACATATTCGAGCCACACTAATCCGACTGAAACTGGCTTCAGAGATGGAAGGATCTGGTGCCTCCAGCTCCCACGAATTCATCTGAGTACAGATCTGATCCAGCACTGTGTGGATGCTAGAGATGCGCGGATTGCGGTTACAACCGCGGTATCCACGGTTAATCCGTGGGTCGGGCGGATGACGTGACGAAAAATTATATTTTAATTAAATTCGGGCGGGTGGCGGATTAACTACTAAAAAAAAAAAAAAAAAATGTTTAGTATTGTTACCTACATCTGAAAAGACGAGTCTCATTGTCTATGCTTGTAGTATGAAGTGTACGCATGTCCTTAATTAGCCCATTTGACCTCGTTTTTTACGTTCGAAAGGTTCAGGTTGTGTCGGGTTATTGAAGACTAAGGTTTACGAGGCACATATTATATGCAGTTTATTTTATTATTTCTAATTTATTTCAGCTGTTTGCCAACACATAAGTGGCTATAGGGCCATTTCGATGATCAGTTATATTTAAAACACGCAGACATTATATGTGCAAGACTGCCACTCGGGGGATTTAAAACTTAAAGAAAGACCGATGGAGTGAGGCTATGACTTTTGAAATAACATCGAGCAATGCAGAATGTTCAGAATGTAACAACATCCAACACGAAGGCAAGAAGGTTCAAAAACAGCCTAGTCGGAAAAACGTTGTCAATTTAATTAGCTGCGCAAGAAAACCAGGTAAGTTTGGGGTTGTTACGGACAATTAAGAATGTGAACATACACGCTGAGCGAATTTTGGAATGAATGAGCTATAGAGTTTGCATTTTTATCGAGGCTCCTTAGTTTGTTTGCTGTATGATTGTTCTAAAAATCTAAAAATCAATCGGCGGATGGCGGGCGGTGGCGTTTTGAAAACCTTCGGTGAAATGGACAGCGGGCGGATGATGAGTTTTGTGTCGCGGTTGCGGATGAAAAAATAGCCCATCCGCGCATCTCTAGTGGACGCCTGAAAACACTGATACACTGATGTAGGTCTGTGCACCGCTACCGCCAAAACACTAAGAGGCAAAAGTTTAACCTGAATCATCTCCAACGCGACAGAAGCACAGAACAGACTCACCATCAGCAGAACACCCCTCTGTCACAGAAAGAACACTCATATTCCACTGAGTCGTGTCTTTTAGTCCTACAGAAGCTGAACCAAATCAGCGCACAAGGAGAGCGCTGTTTTTTTGAGCGCTTAGTTTATGCAAATGAGACATGTGATTTTAAGTTTTGTTTCTGTAAAATGTAAACAAATATGCTCAAAGCTGTGTGGATAAGGAAGGATTGCGGACACAAAAACAACGTGTCTTGGACGCAGATCGTTTCCGATGCGGTGATACGCGGATTCGTTCAGTGTAAACGGGGTCTCAATGGGTGTTTTTTTGTTTTGTTTTTTTCCTCAAAAACACCTTGAAAAACATGCACTCTTGAGCTGACTTACTGGTCTCACACAGCAAAAACTAGAGGGTTAAAATTTCAGGGTAAAATATGTCAAAGTTGTTTTTAACTCAAAAGTGTTATTTTAACTATTTGAAAGTTTAAGTTTAAGTTAATTCAACTTCTCTTTGAGTGGCACGTACTACCCACCACTTCAGACTCCTGTGAGAGAAGATCAGTTTGAACCAGTTTTGTTCATAATTTCATCTTAAATTAACTAAAATAAAGTGTAAAAATAAAACGTGTGTGTGTTGTTTAGCTAAATCAGGATAACCCTACAAAGTGTTATCCGTTTACTCTCAAAATGTTAATATAACTCTTGATTTTGGAGTTAAATCAGGAACTTTGGTCCAGTGTGACTGAATTAACATTTCCAAAAAAAATTAAATTAACTCTAGAACAGATTTGACTCACATAAACCTTGAGAAAATGTTAAAACTGATTCTGTGTTTTTATTTACTGATATTTGGGTTGGGGGGGGGAAATGTATGGATGGCAATAACTTAATTTTCTAACTGTTAGGTTGATCTGTAATTGTTTTAGTTTTCTTTGTTTTTTTTGTGTTTTTTTGCTTTTATGTTCATGATTGTGTGGTTGTGCTTTATAATGTATAAAACTAAATAAAAACATTGTTTAAAAAAAAAAAAAAAAAAAACTGATTCTGTTAGAGTCAATTTTAACACTCCACTTTTTGCTGTGCACCTGCTTGTCTCCTTGGGGATAAATAAAGCCATGCTGTGGAACTTTACAGTCAAAGCAAAATGGAGATAAGCAGGTGACTGACCCTTCATCTGAAAAGTTCCATAGTGCACAGGTGTCAAACATAAGGCCCGGGGGCCAGATCCGGCCCTCCAAGACCTTTAATGTGGCCCTTGGGTGATTTTCTACAAAAATATTTTAATTATATTTTCTATTAAAATATTGGTAATTTTCTGCGGTGTTTATCACAGCAGCGTCTCCAGCGTCTCTGTACGTGGCCCCTCCCACCAGAGCAGCACAAATGAAGACTTGTCTCGTTCCAAACGCTCTTAAAGGACGATCGTTTTGACTGTTGACCGTGACACCCTCATCAGAAAATGTCCAAAATGAGAAAAGTGGAGCCGAGTGCAGGATTTTCCAAGATAAATGGACTTATTCCTATTTGCATTCAATTTCAGGTTGTTCATAATATTATAATATTATAATAAGAAAGAGTTCATCAATTAAAAAAGTTTTGTGTTTCTCTACACAAATATTTGAACTTATTGTTATTTTTGGGGTTTATATGACATGAGTTTTCTGATCTGGCCCCTTTGGAATCAAAGTAGGTTGGATACGGCCCCCGGACCAAAATGAGTTTGACACCCCTGCCATAGTGCCTCTTTACTTCAGAAAGCTCTCGTGCTTGTAGAGCCGGTGTCCTGTGGTACCTGTCTGGGTCTGCCTGCAGTCGGCCCTGTTTGTCTCGGACTCTGGACATCCAGCAGTCGTCGATGATCACGTACTCGTACCCCAGCTCCCTCCAGCCGTCCTCAGACAGCCGGTCCGCCATGTCCCGGAACAGCGCCTCACTGTGGACAGCGGGGGAAGCACGGTCAGAGCAGGGACATCATCACAGAAGAAAGAGGTGACGGTGGATTCTCAGGTTTGGTAGTAAAATAAAAATAATAATGTGGAAATAAAAGCGTGTTTAGAGGTCCATAAGTTTACTAAAAATACTATGAAAGAAGCTGCGATGGAAACCGGCTCCTGTAAATCTTAGGCCATGGGGAAGACCGAGGACACGCTGGGGAGATCCCGAGGTGTTCCCGGGTGACTGGGAACACCTCAGGATCACCCCCGGAGGAGCTGGAGGAAGTGTCTGGGGGTGAAGGAGGTCTGGGCCTCTTTGCTAAGTCCTGGATAAAGCAGAAGAAAATTGATGGATGGATGAACTATAAAAGAATAAACTGCAAATTTCTCTGATCTGTCGAAGATTTTTAAAACTTATATCAGGTTATTCATCTTGTTTTCAGGTTTATTATGTACTTATTAGCTCTGAGATGCTTAATTCTATTCTAGAGGTAGTTTATTTTAAGATTACTTAAAAAATGCGTAAAATCTTGCTGCATGGACACGCTAATTTCACTACTTAGTAATTTTCTGATTAATTTAAGTGTTTATATCTTAAATTTTGGCCAGTGTAGCCTAGATAAAATGTCTGTTTATGCTGTATTTTGTTTTTAATAAATGACAATACCTTAAAATATCTGTTTTATATTTTGCGCCAAGAAAACTAATCTTGAAAACAATTAAAAGATTGTGTAGTTAAAGGTTCTATATTGTGTTAAATTGACTCTTGTGCTCTTTTAGGTTATAATGTTGTTACCTCTTCAAAAACCTACCCAGAGTTGTGTTTTGTTTCATTCACACATGTTTGAGTAACTGTTTTATTATCAGTCTGTCTACATCTCCAACGCTCAGAAAGCTCTGTTCCACCTTGTGATGTCATGAAGTGGTAGTTTTCAAGTCAACAGCTGCTTTTTACCTTTGGTTCAGTGGAGTTTGGCAATTCCTGGATTGATCATCATCTAAATGATTCTAGTGAAGGTGTATGAATGAAGTTTAAAAACACAGTGGAGCACTTCCTGTATCACCACATGACATCACAAGGTGGAACAGAGTGTTTTCAGTTTGAGAGGAGCAGCGTTTGTGTATTAAATATATGTGAATGAAACAAAAACACAACTCCAGGTCTGTTTGTGATGAGGAAAAGCATTACAACATAGATCAAAAAACAATAGTGGTGTAACAATAACTGAAATATCGTGATATCATATCGTCAAAAGTCTCACAATAATATCGTCGACTGTCACAATAAATCAAATTACATGTTCCTTTGTATAAACATCAGAAACTACATATCCCATGATTCATTTCAGTGCAAACAACATGAAGAAATGTGTTTTTTACTTGAATTCTTGGGATTATGATGAAAATAATTCACACCAAAATCTTGTCAAGGTATTTTAAAATCAAAAAAGTCTCTACATTTATATCAGCCTCTCCAAAATATCTCAATAAATATCGTACTGTGAGATTTGGATATCATTACACCCCTAGAAAACAGAGTAATACAGGCTCTTTAAATGCACTTTTCCCATAAATACTTGTATATAAATATTCCATACTATAATTTGTACCTCATGAACAGTCCCACGTGTGTTTTGGTTTGTTTGTTCTGAACCCTGTGGTGATTTCTGTGGAGCAGTTTTCACCTGATGCAGTTCTGTGGGTCTTCTTTGCAGTCGATGTCACACCTGAAGCGCTCCCAGGCCATCCAGCCCATCGGAGGAGTGCGCGCCAAACCGTTGTCATTGGACTGGACCAGAGGAACCAGGGACAAGAGAGAGAAGAGAGAGAAGAGAGAGAAGAGAGGGAGGAGAGGGAGGAGAGAGAGGGGGGACACTGACGATCCGATCATGTCTGTGGAGCAGTGAGAGTTTCAATTTAATTCAGTTTGAGAACAGTGTTTGGTTTATGTCTTTTATTTATCCATGAATGTATGTATTTGAATGGGGACATCACACATAATCTTAAAAGGCTCACATTTTGTTTCCCATGTATTTGAGAAAAACAAAAAAAAACAAAAAAGTGAAAGTGGAAGTCTGGAAAGTGGAAGTCTGTGCCTCCCTGCTCAGATGACCCAACCCTGGACAAAACGAACGAAATGGATGAATGATAATAATAATAATGCATCAGTTTTATATAGCGCTTTTTTTTTTTTTGGACACTCACCTTACAGATCATTATTCATTCTCTCCAGACCCTGTGGTGCCCTGGGACAGACTGACAGAAGCAACACACCACTATGATACTAGGCAAAGTGGGTAAAGTGTCTTGCCTAAGGACACAAGAACAGTTTTTTTCAACTGGCATCCCCATGTAGCTCCTGGTTGTCCCAGTATCTCCCATCCAAGTACTAACCAGGCTTTGATGAGCCGGTGTGGCCACGAAATGTGTCTTGCCGCAGTATCGCAGCTCTTGAGGTCAAAATACCGTATTTTCCGGACTATTAGACGCACTCTTAAGCCTCTAACCCCAACAAAAAAACAACTGCGCGCCCCACAATCCAGAGCGCCCTATACACGAATCCACTCGAGTGTCCCAGCACGATTTCAGTAAACTACAAAGCCGGAAACACACACAGAGCAAACAGCGACCACACAGCAAAAAACACCCACAGACACACTCATCACTCCACGCCGACGAGGAACGGAACGGAGGAACGAACCGAAAAAGCGAGCGCGACGTGCCGCTTCTAGACACGACTGAACAACTGAGTCACTGCGAACACGCCGACAATCCAGCGATCCCAGACAGCACCCTCCCTACACGCCACAACTGAACAAAGCCCAGAGTCACCGTGAACGAACAAACAAACAAAACCACTCACCCATCACACTGTTGGGTTTCCTTTAAAGTCCGGTGCGGTTTATTTGTGCGAAAAAAGTTTGAAAATAGACCATTTAATGACAGTGCGCCTTATAATCCAGAGCGACTAATAGTGAGGAAAATACGGTAAGTCAGCTGTGCACTGTGAATTTTACACTCTGAATTTTGACTGTTGATGAAAATATTTGTGCTAAATATTAAAGGTGATTTATTTATTTTGAATTTGAAACATGTTGAAAAAATATAATACACATTTCAACAACTACAATTCAGAAATAAAAGAATTTAAACATGTTTTTGTGCACCTTCACACTCACACAGGAACTGAAATAAAGGCTTAAAGGGCTCATGTTACGCTGTTTTCTGATCCATGTTGTAATGTTGTTTCCTCATCACAAACACACCTGGACTTGTCTCATTTTTCCAGTGAGGGTTACGTTCTGTTGAAGCCCAAAACATACAAAAACAAAACAACACAGGTCTCCAGGAAGAACAACCGATAGCTAAGGCCAATTTAAAAAAATACTATCAATCGATGAACCTGCCCAGAGACGACAGGTACAAACATCTCTCCTGTTAAGGTTAAAGGTTGTATAGAGGATTTTTTGTGCATGCGTGACACCACCTCCCTCCTCCACAGCTCCCTCAGTAGAAACATCTCCTCCCGCCTCTTTACTCTAGAAATCACGCTTGTTTACAGCCCGTGCGCGTTCATCGCTGGAAGGAATCACCAAGAATCACCTCAGTTTGGCTTTGCTCCTTTTCTCTTTCTCTTCGTCTTTCAGCGACCTCAAAAACTGACTTTCTTTTGCGATGAACTGGTCGTGGATTCTCGTCGGCCATCGCGACAAACTTTGTGCGAATTGCGAAGAAGCTACAGTTTGAAAAAGCCTCTAAGAACCGCTGCATAATCCACGTAATCCCCCGCGCGCCGGCGAGTCACTTACACTAGAAACGTAGGGATTTTGATTGACGACCTAACAGCCAATAGAAAATGAGGTAGCTTCGTTATCTATTGGCTGATGTTTATCTGGCCTCACTACGTCCGCAGTTGATAGATTTTCATTCTTTTTGGTTTTTTTTGGTCATCATAATTACAAAGTTACTGCGTCTCTGTAATGGTATTTTAAACTTTCATTGACAATTTGAAACAAAAACAAAAAAACATCCTCCATACAACCTTTAATGTAAAAATTGTACACTGTCCACGTCTCATAAAAAAAAAAAAAAAAAAAAACTTCAAACTTTAACCCTCGTAGAGCAGCTGTACGGCTATATTTTAACCTTTTTTATGACCCAGAGAAGTGCTCTACCTTTTCTTTTCACCTGATACCTGGAGTTGCGTTTTGTTTCATTTGCTTTATTGTTCACTTTCACTAAACAATCAGTCCTGGAATTGCCAATCTCTAAAAAAAAAAAAAAAGGTAAAAATAGCTGTTCACTTTAAAATGACCACTTCATGACACCCTTTTGTTCTTTTTGACCATCAGGTCCACCTTTCTGTTGTTACTTTTCTTGGTTTCTCGGTTTGGGCACGGGTTAAGGGTTTCTTTTTGGGTTTAAAAACATCTCCACAGAAAGAAAATAAAAGAAAAAAAAAAACTCTAATCTTTAATTTGGTTTCTGTGTCCTTTTAAAATATGTTGGAACTCATCTCCCTGGGACATAACAACATTACAAGGTGGAACAGAGCGTTTTGAGCTTTGGAGTTGCAGACAGACTGATAATAAAGAGCTACTCAAACGTGTGAATGAAACAAAACTCAAGTCCTGGTTTGTTTTTGACGAGGTAACAACATTCAAACATGACTAAAAACTCACAAGAGTAAATTCTGTGTAATATAAGATGTGTAAAAAGTGAAGTTGCATGTTTCGAGAGTCTCACCGGTTGTTTTTCTGCAGCAGACTCCACTCTCCTGTCCACACTCCAAACACACTCACATGACTCTGGACTTCCTGCTTCCTGGTTTGGTCTGATCAGGTGGTGCAGATCATGTGGTGCAGGTGAACTCCTCTCACACACACAGAGCAGAGCGGAGCAAAAAACTAATTTAAATAAAGACTTAGGACTTAGAATTAAATCCATAATGACTTAGGATTTAAGAGCTCTTTTTAATTACTGTCTTTAAAGTGCCTAAATATAACTTGGACAAACAATAAACATTTATGAAGAATGTTTTGCTCAAGTTTTCATTTTAGTTTGAAGTATTTTAAATATGGTCCGGGTTATTTTCTTGTGTTTTTTTTTTTTTTTTTAATCCAATTCAATCCACTTTATTTTTATAGCACATTTCACAAACAGTTTCCAAAGCGCTGTACAAATACATATTAATAACAACAGTAATAAAATGATAAAATAAACACTCAGATTTAATCATACTAGTCTTAAAATAATAAAACCGGTAAAATAAAATAAGAGCAAAATCATAGAAAATAAGACCAATAAAATACATTAAAAATAAATAAAATAAATAAAAGACGCAGAGGAGCACACAACTCACGCAGGTGTTAAAAGCCAGAGAATAAAACTGGGTTTTAATACGAGACTTAAAACTCTCCAGTGTGGGGGCTGTTTGGACGTGGAGGGGCAGAGCGTCCGAGAGTTTAGGGCCGACCACAGAGAAGGTCCTGTCCTCCTGGTTTTAAGACTCGACTTTGGCCCCACAAGGTATAAATCTGGATGAGGTTCGAGACGTACCGTGGGGCCAGTCCATTCAAAGCTTTAAAAACAAACAATAAAATCTTAAAATCAACTCTAAAATTAAAGACGCAAGGATTGGGGTGATTTTTATGTCACACAGAGATGAGTAGAGTAGCCAGAAATTGTACTTAAGTAACCGTAATGTTATGGTCCAAAACATTATTCAAGTAAGAGTTAAAAAGTGTGGAAAAACTAGTACTCAAGTAAGAGTAAGTTAAAAGTAACTGTTGAGGTGTAACTTCTGATTTATAATGTTAAATAATGCACAAAATCTGACACAAAAATGAGACAAACTAAATGATTCCTGAAGGAGCTGCAAGAAACACAAATGTTCAAATCATTTCATATTGTCACGTGAAGCTTTTGTCACTTTAGTCTCACAGTGAGAAGAGGAAACTCAACTTTTACTCAAATAAGAAAGCGCTTTGTGTTGCTTTTTTTTTAATGAAAAGCGCTCTATAAATAAAGTTTGATTTGATTTGAGTACTGTCACTATTACTTCAATAATAATAAGGTAAACATAAAATATGCTGCTAAAGATTACTCTGTTGAGAACAATTTCTTTAAAAACCCAAGTTATTTAAATATAACTGAGTACTGCAGACCTCTAATGTCACATCATTATCTTGTGTTTTTGCAAATCAGCAAACCAGAACTAATAAAAAAGATCTTTATTTACTAAAAAACTGTGCATGCATTAAACAAAATGTATTTTTATTAGTAAATGCACAAAAAGTATGGCATAAACTGCAGTAATTCTTTCAGTAATTGACACAAATGGGAATGAGAAAAATTAAACGAAATAAAAAAAAATAAATCTATAAATTATGTCCATTTGAGCATCTGCAAAATAAATATTAAACTCTTGTGTTTTGGGTCAAACAGCTGAAAGATACTAAACAAACTACTTCAAAACGGGTTGGTCATTGCGAACACGTAGGCCACCGGCAGCTGGAGCCCGATGTTCACGATGTGCCACTCCCCGACCGTCAGCGCTCCGAGCACCAACCCGGCCAACGTCGCCACCGTCCCCAACCACGACGACCACCGACCCGCCAGAGCCGCCGCCGCCCCCAGCGAAGCCCCCGTGGCCCCTACAGCCCCCAGCATGGCCCCCGCCGCCCCGCCGTCTCCCAGCAGCGGACCCAGCACCTGCACGCCGAGCAGCAACGCCCCTCCCAAAACCGCCGCCCCGACGATCACCCTGGCTTCCCCCGCGCCCTGTCGGACCAGCGGACCCCCAACCGTCGCCCCCAACCCGAGCTGACAAACTTTAGCGACGAAATACCCAGCATTCAACGCCTCTAAGGAAGCCTGGTAGTTCATACGTGTTTCCACTTCGCTTTTTGTGTGATTGACTCCGATTTTGTGGAGCTTCACGGCGTCGCTGACGACCATCTGCTCCGCGTGAATCGTCAGCAAAGCCACCACAATGGTCGCGATCATGCCCATGCAGCCGATCAGCATCCAGAATTTGAACTCATTTGTTTTGAGTAAAGCGTAAGCGATGATGGCGACGAGCCCTAACAGGAGCGGCATGACGATCTGATGCCCACCGTACCCGTACACGCCAATTAGGGAGCTTATGACGGCAATGAAGGTCATCGGAATCCCGGAAAACGCGAGAAAGTCGATGTGTTTCATCACTATGGTGTTGATCCAGTCTTGTAAAGATCGTTGCTCAATTTCAGCTTCCTCTGTTTCGATCCTCTTTCTCTCTAGCGCCTCCCTCTTGCGTTTTTCTTTTGCCCATTGCTCGCGCTCTTCCGGACTTCCCGGTTCTCCGCCGTTTTCCAGAGTCAAGATTTGTTGCTCTATTTGCTCGGCCACTCGTATTCGTTGTTCTGAATCAGATTTTTCAATTTCCTCTCTTTCTTTGACCCAAACCGCATTCAGGCCGCAACACATCTCCGCTTGAAACATCGTCTTAAAAATAAAATGGAAAGGTGTTTTAATGATCGTAAACAAACTCAGCGCCCAAAGCAGACCGACCATTCCGTAATTTTGCACAATCCAATCTATGGTCATTCCGAGAGTCGCTCCGCTCGACGTAGTCCCGTAAACTCCGGCTATTCCCGCGGCTACCCATAATGCAGCGGTGTTCGTTTGGGTAGAGGCGCCGCAACTTCTCGTGACGACAAAAACAGAAGCGACGGCGGCGGCCAAAATGACCCCGGCGACCACCGACGTCATGGCGGTCGTCAGCGCTGTGGCTCCGATCAGACTCCCGAGCCCCAGGGGACCCACGGTGCGAGCTTCGTCCACCAGAGGCCTCATGCGCGTGGGGGCGGTCATGCCGTAGAGGGAGCGGTGGACGGGGTCTTCGGTCGCGCCCAGAATACTGCCCCCTACTGCTCCCAGTACGAATCCCACAGCGGCCTCCACAAACGGGCTCCTGTAGGCTGCAAGAGAAAACAGGAGATGTAAGAGAATTTAAGTAATTTATCTTCCACGTACATCTCACTTTAACATGAACTCACAAAAGCTATATTTACATCGTGATCTTCCCTTGGCAGACCATTGGCACCATTATCTAAAGTGTGGCATATTCCTGCTTAACCGGTGAGTACTGGCCTTCATAGGCTACGTTCAGACTGCAGGGCTTAATGCTCAATTCTGAGTTTGTTTTTTTTTGTGAAATCCGATGTTTTTGCAAGGTTGTTCTCATTTCCAGTTAAATGTGACTTGTATGTGACTCCAGTGTGAACATTAAACGGCCCAAATGTGTCCCGCATGTGCACTGGAGACACGACGTCATCAACCGCAGTGAGCGTCTCTGTGTTTACGGAAGTTGTGCAAACATGGACGCAGCATTGAGCACCTGGAGATTTTAAAGTTCCTCTCGTACCAGAGCCAGAACATGAACAACTTACTTGTTTTAAGGAGGAGATTGAGAAGGAGAAGGACTTGGTTTTTTGCCGTGGTGTTTTGTGGGACAGCGGCAGCGACGTCCGTTGAAAGGAACATGTGGATGTGGAGATGGAGCCAAGAGTGGTGAGTGGTGATGTGCTTCACTTCAGTGACACGGAGTTCATTAACAATTTTCGTATGATGAGAAGAATGTTTCTGTACATTTGTGGCTTGTTGATAACGTGTAGGTCGGATGAATGCCCCTTGGACGTTCAGACTGAAGTCAAAAGATCGGATATGTATCGGTTTTAGGAGCACATATCGAAGTGGCCTGGGTGGCATTTGAAAAAATCAAATCTGTGTCGTTCAGACTGTCATTAAAAGATCAGATACAGGTCACATAGGGGCCAAAAAATTTGATTTGGGTCACTTCAGGCTGCAGTCTGAACATAGCTTTAGTCTCAACACACTTGCTTTGTAAACCTCCTCCTTTGGAAGCAGAGTCAAGGGGCTTAAACACTCAAAGATCACACCATGTTCACTTTTGAAATTATACTGTGTTGATTTTTCCAGTTCCCCCGGGCTGTATTATTGATGGTAAATAAACTTCTCCTGCTTAAGACTGCAGTTGGTCTCCGGCCTTTTACTTCCACCCTTTCTTGGACAAGCTGAAAACTTCAACAGGAGATAAAGACTTTATTAAGCAGAGTAAAGCTCAGAGGTGTAATCGAAATTAGTTTCAGAAATGTCTTTTATTAGTTGTAGTTTATTTTGCAGGCTTGATAACCTTTCATTCAGCTTTCATTCTCAAACAGGTGACCATGTTGACCTCGCAGTACTTTTTTTATTTAACCAATCGCTGCCCCAGTTGCCCCAGTTGCCCCAGTTGCCCCAGTTGCCCCAGTTGCCCCAGTTTTACACAAGAAATGTCCCAGGTGTCTAGCCTTAGTCATCAGCCGGTTTCACGTTGTAGAAACCGTCTGACCGCGCAGCATTAGGATTCTTTTGCTCAACAGTAGGTGGGTACTTTTTTATTTAACCAATCGCTGTTATTTGGTCATGACGTATGTAATGCGCTGCTAATGGGGCTAACTGGTATATTAAAAGTTTCCCAAATCCCGTAGTAAGAAGAGCAATAACATCTTTCCCCTTGATAAAATTCACCAAACATTCTCTTTGTTCTGGCTTTAAATTCTTGATCTCAGGAATTGTTGCCAACACAGAATGTTTGGCTCTTTGCTGATTGGCTGGTGCCCGGACTCGCACTTCCAAGGTTATTGCAACCATCTAGTGTATTCCAATTCCTGACCTAGTCGCTGGAGCGAAATGAAACTGAGCTTATCAACAGGACTTACAGGCTTGTACCGTAACAATAAAAACACTAAAATGATATAAACTATTGCATAGGCTTTAGGCTGCAGCGTATCCTGAGGCTGCAACGGGTACGCTCAGTTGGTTTATTTACCCGTCATACATATTTTACATACAGACTTGTCAACTTTTACTGGCTCTCCTCGTCATTCGCCTGAAGCCAAACTGCTGCCAAATTGTAGAAGCATTAGTATTTTTAGTATAAGTATTTTTTGGGGGACCAACTCGCTTGCGGCCGGACTTGTCGTCTTGTCTTGGTCTCCCTTATGAGTGTCACGTTACAACGGAACAAAACTGATCGAACATCGTCTCCCCACGCAGTTAAAAGAAACATTATACAGTAGATACTATCAGTTTTAAATCGTGATAGTATTAAACTGAAAATACAACCACATGTTCATTTGTGCTAAGCAAACTTTTAAGGATTTACTTACAATGTGGGCTTCTACCCTGTGTTTTTAAAGTTTCATTCATATGTTAATACGCCCTGTAATTAATCTCTGTGTTCCTTGACATGCTGTGTATGTTTTTGGACTTTGGAGTGTCAATGGTGAATGTATATGGGACAGATAAGGGGTGTATCTCCAACCTTAAGCATATGCCAATCTGTTATGGGACACGTGTTGGGACAAAGTGCTGTGTATGTTTCCATGAAGATGTTAACTCAACAGTTATGCTGGTATAAAAGGCATCCAGTTTTTCTGTGCATCAGTGGGGGAACGTCGACTGCGTTGTCGAGGGACGACCGACGCACAGAGACACGCCGCGTAGGCAAAATCATGCTGAATCAACTTGAATCTTGAGACCTGAATTAATAAAGAGACATGTCTGAGTCCTTTTCTAACTCTCCAAGTCTCTTTCTTAAGATCCTGTTTAGGCTGCCTCCAGGAGAAGCTGACAACAACCTTATACGTAAATGTAGGTATCAATAAATTATGTTATTTTAAGTCCTCATGTGCTGATACCGTGGGATACCTCAATACCGTATTACCGCCCAACTCTACCACATATTTAATTGAATGGAACAAATTATCTTCCATATGCCAATCTGTAGAATAGGCCTGAACAAGTGTAATCATCATGATCCAAAAGTATATTTAGACACCATGCAATGCTCATTTTAAGAGACGATCATATGGTCAGAGAGGGTCGAACTGAATGTTTTCATGAGCAGTTTTATATGCCACTCTCGAGTTCATCTTCCCCATTACACAGTAAAATGCCTGCTCGTAATCTCAAATCCCTTCACTTTCACAAAATACTTGTTAATTGCTTTTCTGACAAGTGAAAGTTCACAGTGCCCCCGTATCTGCTGTACATTTCTGTCATTCTTGGCTCCACGTGTGAACCCAGGCTGCTACTCGTGTCTGCGGGGCGTCCTCAGCGTAAGCGCCCAAACCGGTGCGTCCGGTTTAACCTGCAGCGCCTCCTCCACGGCTCTGATCTCTATCGGTTTGTACTGAACACGTGAAACAACTGAACCGCCGCAAGACTCAAACAAGACCCACGAGGATGACGCAAGATAAAGATAAAGTTAGAGACCACTGGTTCTTAGTCTGTGGCGCAGATCCTCATTGGAACTACTTGTATTTTTGCACGAATTGTCTTGTTTTAGTTTAGTTTTCTGTACTGGATACGTCTTAAAGGTCCGTTTACACCTGTCCTACTTTGGTCCTACAGTACACTAAGGTTTGGCCCTGTTATAATCCAGGTATAGTCCCCATTTAGTCCAGGTTTAGTCCCAGTTTTGTCTTAAATAATACAAATAGTGTGTGGCTTAGTCCAGTAGTGGCAACATGTAGAAGTAAATAGCAACAGCAGCAATAGTAGAAGTAGCAGTTGCAGTATTTGTAGTCATAGTAGCAGCAGTAGTTGAAGTAGAGGCATTAGTACTAGTATTTGCAGTGGAGTAATGGGTAAAGTAGCACCCAGTATGATTACAGCACCACAAGTACCACAGTGATTTAATGGGATTATAAAATTACATCAACTTATTTTCTCAATTTCTTCATCAGTGAGTTGTGATTTTTACAAGACGATATCACAATGCAAATACTTCTGCTTAGTAAGTGAGTAAGGTGGATATTTTTAACACTATTACAAGCTACTTTGGGTTAGTTGACATTGCACAGCTTCAACAAACGGCACAAACAAAATGAATTCAAATAGAGAGACTTACTTATCTTCGGTGGCATGTTGCAGCGTAGAACAACTCTCCTGGTTTGACTAAAAGGTTTGGTTCATTCAGGGTTTTGGGTGATTCAGATGCAGCCGGTGTTCTCTGTCAGACCGGCATTATGAGTCTACTTCCAACAGGACACACCCACAGCTGCAGGTCACCCAACGGATCCACCCATTTAACAGAGACTAAAGCCAAAAAACTATGTTAATGATTATGTTTCCTATCCATAGGAGGAGAGTACAGTGGCATCCGGTACTCTAAATCTCACCCCCAGTGCAGTCTTTTAGTCTTAAATGTGCACTGTTACCCTGTTTACTCAGGACAGTCCCAGTTTTGAGTCCTGTGTCCCCTGTCCCAGCAGATTTACCCAAAAACAGTCATTTGTTACAGTTTTATACAGGACATGTGTAATGTTGCGACCGAGAACCCTTATTTACTCACAGAATCCATTCTGGCATAAAAAAGGACAAGGGCAATGTGGTATAGAAGTTACACATCTTTATTTAATCTTCTAAACATTTAAAAGAAATATTTCATTTTCTGGTTGCCTTCTTGATACAATTACACACCACTCAATTGTCATAAATGTAGGACTCAACCCCACCCCAAACTAAACACAACAAATCAAATTAATAATCCAAACCAAACATTACATTAGTTGAACCCTACATTTACAATAAGTTAAAGTGCGGGTGCGCTGTAAACCTGGATAATGTAATAATATTTAAAGTGCGTGTGCCAAGGTACATGAGGTAGACTTCGTTACAATAAAGGGCATAAAAATTCAAGCTGGTGAAAGCGCTCGTGCTGAGGAGACCTATTTGGGTGAAAGTGACTTGTGCCAACCCTGAGACCTGACCCTGCATTGCACTGACCCCCTGACCAAATATTGCACTTCCCTCCAAGACCTCGGCTACTGTTAATCAATGTTCAATTAAAACCAACACTAAGAATAAGATAAAGAATAAAGAGCAAGAATAATGCAGCAGTGGCAATCTGTTACACAGGGAAAAAATAAATTAACTTCAAGTAGCGACCACCACCCCAGATATACAACAAAAGAGCATTTACCGCAAATTTAGAAGGGGGAGGGGGGGGGCACTCTACATGGGGCTCGGAGCGCGTTACGAGCGGCCGCCGGCACCACCGCCTACTCCAGACAACCTTTAAAATGCAGTCAGACATATCGCATTAAAGCAAATACTATAAGAAATATTAAAACAACAACTCCGGTACTTACACGCGCTGCCTTCAAAAGCCACCGAAAGCCCCGACTGCCACACCACAGCGTGCGCAGCCTTTTCTAATCGCGCAATCAGTGACGCCCGGAGCCACGCGCAGCGACGCACAGGTGGACGCACCCACGGACGCAACACAGCAGGACAACATAGGCTGCGTTCAGACTGCAGCCTGAAGTGACCCAAATCCGATTTTTTGGCTTCTATGTGACCTGTATCCGATCTTTTAATGACAGTCTGAACGGCACAGATCCGAATTTTTCAAATGCGACCCAGGCCACTTGGATATGTGCTCCTGAATCCGATACATATCTGATCTTTTGACATGCGACTTCAGTCTGAACGGCCAAAGCGCATCCATCCGACCTACACGTCATTAACAAGTGATAAACGTCACTATTCTGCGCTTAGCAGGCGGAAACCGGAACTGTAAAATCGCCAGGTGCTCAATGCTCGCGACCATATTTGGACAACTTCCGTAAACACAGAGCACGCTCGCTGCGGTTGACGCATGGGGTTGACGTCATCGTGTCCTCCAGTGCGCATGCGGGACACTTTCGGGCCGTTTACCGTTCACACTGAAGTCAGACAAGTCGCATTTAATTGGCAATGTGAACGACCTCGCAAAAACATCGGATTTCACAAAAAAATCGGAATTGAGCATTAAGCCCTGCAGTCTGAACGTAGCCATAGTCCAATCACCCGGTTACACATGTCTCAGGTGTCTAGCCTGATTCGTCAGCTGGTTTCACTTTATAGAAACGGTCTGACCTCACAGTGCTAGAATTCGTTTGCTCGACGGTAGCAGGTACATTTTTCTTTAACCAGTTGTTGCTATTTGGTCGTGATGTATGTAATGCGCCGCGCCTGGTATATTACTGGTATATTAAGCTTTTCCCAAATCCCGTAGGAAGAAAGACAATAACGTCTTTCCCCTTGAAATTCACCAAACATTCTCTTTGTTCCGACTTTAAATCCTCGATCTCGGGAATCGTTGCCAACACAGAATGTCTGGCTCTTCGCTGATTGGCAGGTGCCCGTACTCGCACTTCTGGGGTTTTTGCGAACCGTCTAGTACAGACATGTCAAACTCAGGCCCGGGGGCTAAATTTGACCCACGATATAATTATATTTTCCCCACGAGATCATGTCAAATATGCATTAGAGCTGCCCGCCGGCTACAGATCGACTATAGAGACATTATTTATTTAAAATGTTCTTATTATTTTATATTATACTTGTTCTGGATTCAATTTTTAAGCAAAACTATTATTAAACATTTATTTTAATAAGAAAAGGTTTTACATTAAATATCTCGAAAGAGGAGAAAACATGAAGATGTTGTTGAAATTTTTCAATAAATATTTAGTTTGGCAGACGACTTAGTCCCAGTTTTTAATTTTGGCCTCTGTGAATTTGAGTTTGACACCTCTGGTCTAGTGTATTCTGATTCCTGACCTAGTCGCTGGAGAGAAATTAAATTGAGTGGAGGCACTAGGAGGCACCACATGTCCCTATTTTTGACCAAATCTCCATGGAGAAAACAAGCATGTAGCAGACCTCCATAGTTTTTCCCACAAACTATTACACTGTTTGCACTATTTGAATCATTTTGGTGAATAAATGTCACTTATTGCCTTTACTAACCAAAAAACACTGGTTATAGATTAAAAATGGTTAACTCTGTATGTTTATGGTAACACTCGCTTGTTTAAAAGGTGCACTGTCTAACTTTTCTGGCATAGGGTCCGTCATCTGCGTCTCTCTGTGGAGATGATGTCTGGAATGTTCCGCAGTATGGTGTTAAACTTACGTATCTCTACAAAGGCAGCAGGTGACAACACAAGGTAGTATTACATGTCAGGTCTGTGGGGAGACGAGTCCACTCACACAGTAAAAAAATGATTGAGTGAATGCAAAATGGTAAATTACACGGTGCATAGTGTGACCAGATTTTCAAAATAAAAAAAAAAAAACTGGGACCCTTCCGGTTTGTGGTGGTTGGTAATAAAAAAAACTGTGAAACGAGTGCGTGATTAATATTAAACTATTCTGCATTCGGCCCATTCATGAGTCAGTATAGTCACATTTTCTTTGTGTTTTGGTAGTTTTTAAGCAGATTTTCTATATTTTACATAAACAAATGACAGTTTATGCCTCTTTTTAATGTTGGCAGGTTTCAGATTGGTCAAAAATAGAGACACCTGGGATATTTCTTGTAAAAAACTGCAACAAATCACTGGTTTTGGATAAATCTGCTGGGACAGGGTACACAGGGCTCAAACTGAGTAAACAGCATCAGGTCACCCTGAGTTAGAGTTAATTTTATTAGATTTTTTTTTTTAAGAAGATATGAAGACACAACATATAGTGTCCGTACTCTCAGAACATGTACATTTAACAAAGAAAGAGAAACAAAGAGAACAAACATTCATTTTTTTTCAAAAAGGAGTAGGAAGAAGCATATCTTATTTTAATTCTACCTTTACAATTCACAATATTTCATCTACATGATATTCAGTGTACAATTAAGTACATTATAGTGTATCTTTAGACATTTGACATTAGGTGAATTAGATGGAGAAACAAACAAACAAACAAAAACAACTGATGATGTATGGAGTGATTAATTTAACCTACATTTATACATTTCTCCAAGAACACACTGGATACATAAGACTCATTTCTAGCTCCTGATAAGATCTAATCTACCGGTCACATCACGGGGAACATACCTGGAGGTTTGGAGGAGGGTCCGGTCACACCTGTATGCTTTAAAAACACACATTTTTGGACTTTTGGCTCAAAGCTGAAAACTATCTCTTTAACATTTCATTAAAAAAATCACAATCGCATTGCATTGCCTTCATTATCCACACATACTGTTACTTCATTTCTCCCCAGAGACCACGCAGGTCTTCCACGTGACTACAACAAGCGCCAGAAACACCCCCCAAAACCCTGGATCACCCAGGGCCACAGTCAAGAGTCCAGCCAGTCCCAAAATAGCCGCCCCCATCATCAACTTTGCCAGAATCGCAAAGTCCCAGGCGGCTTCTCGTAACGGAACCAGTCTGTTATTGACATCCATGTTGCTGAGTGCACCTATGCACAACACCATAGCTGCCACGACGTACAGGTTCACAGATGTAACTAAATAATAGTGAAATAAAACACCTAAGACAACAACCATAATAAAAATTCTTTCTAATGGTAACATGATGTGAGCGTATTTGAGCGCCAGTCCACAAGATAAACCAGAAGCAGCTGCAAAACTTGTAATAAGTCCGAGTTCACCTCCTGGTCCCAGGAAGTTATTCAAAAGGCTATGGAGACTTAAATGTTCTGAATCAGCGTCTAAATTGTATAAAATGACCGCTGCTGGGCCACAGATCCACAGAGACAATCCATTAGCCTCCTGCTCGATCCAAAAGTAAACCACCAAAGCACCAGCGATGGCCCCAACAAGTCCTGTCAGCAAGAGCATTTTGTAAACAAATGAATCCAATGTGTTAGCAGTTTCGATAGCTGAAGGATATTGGTAACAATATTTGTCAATACCAAACCCAAGCACAATGCCAGTAACAGGGACTAACAAAAGTATGCTTAAAATAATTGAGCCTCTCACTTTTTTGAAAGCGATTTTTTCCACTGAATACCCAAGGAGAATGACTGAAGGAATGAGACAAATTATGGAGAAGTTGCTAAAGTTGTAGCTGGATTGCACGGCGAACATCATGGTCATGAAAGTAACGCTAAACAAAACTATCATCCGTGCTGAGCTGACGCGCTTGTTGCAGCGTTGCTGCTTGTATTCCATGAGTAAAATGGCAGCGAGGAAGAAGCCGACTAAAACTAAAGCCTTGAG